GGGTAATCTAAATCCTAATGTTCGATTTAGCAACTGCAGTGGTACATCATGCCATTAATTGATCTACTGTAAGATAACGTGGCAGACTCAGAGTACTATAGTTTGTGTTTTCCAGCAAGCCTTTATCTTCATACAGCATAGACAAAATCAATATCTCTGCAGCTATGTGGCACTTGTTGCCTGATCATGTTTCATTTGCCCAGTGTGAACTGCAATAGTGAAGGTTCTGTCTGTTAATGAGCAACACCACAGCATCGAATTCTGAAAGACAGCCAGAGGCTTTACTTAAAAACATTAATTAATAAGCAATCAAGGAATTAATCAGTACTGGCATCAATACTATATAGCTGTTTTTACTCTCCCCCTAAATCACTGGGCCTCATATATTAAAGGCTTTCATAGACTTTGTTGCATAGATCACAAGTTCAACTTGCACACAAAATTAAAACTGTCTCGTCTAATACTGTTTTGAAATGCAATGGACATAATTATGTTGCACATTTTCTCAGCCATGTACAGTAATCTCAAAAAGTCATTCAGCTATTCCAAACAGAGCACCTGCACTCTTAAAGGTTTACAGTCATTTTTCCCTCATGGTCTTAAATTTTGGCAAAACGTCATTATTTGTCTATGAAGATGAAATTAACACAATAGCTTTAGCAGCTCGTCTCTTTCCATATACATATTGTTTAGAGCCAGAGAAATCTAGCTGGTCATAATATTCTGTTACATACTTAATTTTTCAATAAACCAGTGGGTATTGAAGCCATATTTGACATTGTGTAATAGTTATGTTCAAACTATGCAAGTGAATTTGATCTGTTTATATAAAATCAAGACCAATTTAAGCTTTTTCTTCTGATTTTATGCACCACAAATCTGGAACAAACTTCCAAAAAACTTCAGAAACAGGGTTGATGTAAATCAAGGCTAAGCACTCATTTGCTTGGAGTTGCCTTTGATTAACTAGAACCAAATTTTCTTTAGTCAATAACTCAATAATTTTGCTGATGGTATTTGACAAAATGTTTATTTACCGTTTCCATTGTGCATGGTTACTGTTATGTTCTTAACACACTTTGAACTGCCTTGTTGCTGAAATAATAAACTGAACTTGACTTTTGTGCAGCTCTACCTGAAGCGACACATTACAGAAATGAGAAAATGGTGACCAGCGTGTTCATGTGGCATCTCAAATGTCTATATCATTGCACTGCTAAATTCGATTGCTCGAAACAGAAACTTGATAGAGTGCAAATCCTGAGTTGACACCACCTGCCCCAATCACCCAATTTAGACAGATTTTTGGAGCAGACTTGAACAGTTCAGTCCACCATGGTGGGACACTGTGCCTTTACAAGAGAGAATGCTTTGGGTTGCAGCACAGCAGATAAGTATCGATCTCCTTGTAACTGAGCTTGCTGCACCTATGTGTGCCTGAGAGTTAAACTTTCTGCACAATGCTTGACTTAAGGGACAGAAGTAAAAGGCCTGGCAATGATGTTACAGCAGCTGCAGCTGGTCACCCACATGATGGGAATGTTGATATCAACTGGAACATTTTTCTTTTTTTTTCCTGAAAATGCATCCCTATTTTTCATTTCTTTAGAGCCATCGGCTTCATTTTGTTTCCTGAGCTGTGGAAGTGTGAAATTTTGTTATTCAATATTTTACCACTTTCATTTCATTTTGTCTTACAACATAAAAAATAATACAAATAAAGTAAATATGAGCTAAAGCAACATTTCCTTCTTTGTGTTTGTGTAACCAAGTTATTTTACCTTTGTGATTTTCTGGATTAAACTGACTCTTTTACAGCTGTTTAAATGACAAAATAATGAACTCGCCACCTGCTGAATATGGATATTTTTATATCAAGTCAGCAGATGATGATAATAAAAATGTCACAGACAATGTTCAATTAAAAATTCTGTATGCTGCTGATGTATTTTTTCTTGTATTTGTAGTTTCTCTACTCTCTTTTTAACATGCCAAGTTGAAAACAGAAAATGTGTTTTAGAACCTTCTAAGCCCTTATCTTCACCCAAACACATTTTGCCCCTCTAAACCAATTAGGAGATGCTCAGAATTCATTAAAAAACATGTTGTTTTATCATATCCGCCATAAAAATTTACTTTGTAGAAGTTTGACGTAGGCTTTATTCTCTTAAGAGGCTTATACGCTCATCTATCATAAAGGTTCCACTCTTTTATCTGCATTGCTTTCTTTTTTGCAGTTCTGTATTTTTTTTTCTTTTGGTTACAACACTTTCATTTAGTCTTTCAGTGCATGCATGCAGTGTGTGTTTTTGTGCAGATATCATGCACACAATGTAGAGTATGCATGCTTGTGCACAACTAAAACAAATGGTACATATGTGAAATGATAGAGTATTCTGTCTGTATTTAAGCATGAATCATGAGGTGGTATGTGTTTTCAACATGGACAGCAGGGGTGTCCCTAGATAATTGTGGCAGTTTGTGTTCAGTGTCCCAAACGTCTCTAAGATGCTTCTGGCTGCTGAGGTTATTTAACAGCTCTGTGGGAGGTTTGAGGGTCTAGTCACAGGTGTTGCTCTTACCTTCAAATGCTTGTCTGAGATGCTATACTCTGCCAGAGCCATTTTCATTTTAATCAGCATGGGTCTGCTGGAGTCGGAAATCAATGTATGATGGTGTTGATAGCACTGTGGATGGGCTGTGGGAAGATTTAGGAGGTTTTGCTTCTTCTCGGTGTGAGACCATGTTCTTAGTTGATAATTGATGAATCAGTATTTTAAAAGCATACTTGAAATACACAATAATATGCATTTCAAATTTAGTACAACCTAAGGGGATTGTAATAATTTCTTTTTTAAAATGTGTATAAGACATGGCTTCTGGAACCTTTCCTGCAATGCTGACCGGACCACCACGTGCGTTCAATTTCTTAAATTTAGGCATAGGCTGGGTGTCAGAATCCATGTCATTCTGTGTTTCTATGCCCTGGACAAATCCATCAGAGAAGCTTATGGTGCAACCGTGTATGAGACTAACAGGGCCACTAACTCCACTAACTCAGCTGTACTTAACATAGTAAGTACTCCCTGTCTCCTGGTTTTGTTCTTTTATGTGTCTGCTTGATGCAGTCAGCTAGGCTTCCCAGCTCGCATGATAAACTGAATACATTGTATTTTCATTGGAATGTTTAAAATTCAGATCAAATTTGTTTTGTAATTCTATTGTCCTGATTTTATGAAAAAAAAAATGAATAAATCTGGATAGTATCTGTGACTATTTAGTGACATTGGTAGTATTGTTACCTTGCAGATAAACGGTCCTAGGTTCTAATACTTGCCTCTTTCTACTTAAAATTTGCAAGATCTTTAAACACCTGAATGTTAGTAAACCTCTGTAAATTGTCATTAAGTTTGTGTTTATGTGTGTATGATTGTATGTTCCTGTGTGTCTCTATGTTGATTTATAATGGAAGCTATCGAGAGTATTTCTTTCTCTAGCCCACCCAACAATTATCCATGGATAAACCTAGGATGGGTGGATGCATACAATCAGGATTTGTTATAGTACCTTTAGATGATATTATAACTTGCCCTATATGAATGAACTAAAATAAGCTAAGTTGTCATGAAAGTTTTTGTGAAGTTTTTTTTTTCTTCTTTTTTTCATTTTCATAGAATACATATAGTCAGATGAAAAAATAAAAGTTCAGAGAATGACTCTATGATAGCAGGGAATGATTAATTTCTTATGAATTTCTTCTCATCAAAAACTCTTCAACCATCTTTACAAGCCGTGCCATTAAATGGGCACTAGATGCTTTCATGTTCATTTTGATATAGCAATCTTTCCCTTTAATATTAATCTGTGGTCAAGTTGCCCAAACCACAGAGATCATATCTAACAAATAAAAGAGTTAAATAAACACGTGTTGCTGGTAACAACCAGCCTCTGACATCAATAAGCCTTTTTATAAGGCCTCTGTGCTGTTTTTGTGGTAAAGGAGGATCCACTCAGTGTAGGGCAGGGAGCCATTACGGTGTTTAATCAGTGCCTGCCAATAATTGTCAGTGGTACTAAATTATTTGAGTGCACAGCTCAAAGAAAGCAATACTTTCAGGTCAAACAAATTTTCCTCTTGTCTAGTTTTACAAATAACATATGTCTCTTCTGATTATTTTGTCATTTGTGCAATGAAATTGTATTGAATAAAAAAGAAAACATTTATCCTTAACATGTACCAAGTGTTATTTTTTTTAGGTTCATTTGCATTTCTCACTGAGCCAGCGTTTGTAATTTTCCCTAGTATACAATTGGTTTTGGCTTGAAGCATTTTTAAAGTTATAACTAATCCCATTTTGTTACTGTTAAAAATGCTTCACATCATCTGATGGTGTAGTTTTCTTGGAAAACTGTTGCTGTGGTATTTTAGCCAGAAAACAATTTTTGCTCAATAGAAAAACATCAGAGCGATTCATTTGTCAGTGAGTTAAAAAGATGTCTATGGTGTCGATATACCAAGTGATAAATAAGTTATAGTATCAAGATGAGATTTTTGCAGAATATAGGCAAATGTGTAAAAACATTAAGCCTATGTATAGGTGAAGTTACTGTCTAATGTACATAAAATGAAAAACAGGCAATGAATGGACTTTCTGTTCGAGATTTACTCTTGTAAACTCTTGATGATTTTGTTAAGTTATAATAATAATAATATAAAGAAATACACAACATAGTGTGCATGCAATGTTTTTTCAAATTACATGTAAATGGATAAAGAGAGAAAAATTAGACAAACATCTTTGTCCAACATGCAATTTGTAGTGTAGTCCTACAGCCTCCCCTGCTGGACATTAATAGCATTGTCAGCTATACTCATGTATTTTTCTCCTTTTTATCTTTCTTTTTCCCTCTGTCCTTTTCTCCTTTAATTCCTATATCCTACACCTTATTCCCTTCCGCCCCTTCCCCTTATTTTCTTATTTTTCTATCCCTTTCTTCAGAATATGCAAGAACATAACAATGAGCTCCAACATCACAGACCCTGGTCTCCTCTTGACTGCCAACACATCACCGCGAACAGCTGGAGCCTATTCTCAATCCAATGCGCATCATAAGACCCTTAATTTCACTCCTCAACCTGAGAATCAAACAGCCTTTGATCCTCTTGGTGGTCATCCTGTGTGGCAAGTTGTCCTCATTGTTTTATTGACAGGCTCGCTGTCACTGGTCACCATCGTTGGCAACATTCTGGTAGTGGTCTCCTTCAAGGTCAATCGCCAGCTGAAGACGGTCAACAACTATTTTCTCCTGAGCTTAGCTGTAGCTGACCTCATTATAGGAGTAATCTCCATGAATCTCTACACAGTCTACCTTATAATGAACAACTGGGCCCTAGGCACATGGGCTTGTGACCTTTGGCTGGCTATTGACTATGTTGCAAGCAATGCATCAGTTATGAATCTTCTGGTAATTAGCTTTGATCGCTACTTTTCTATAACCAGACCTTTGACCTACCGGGCCAAACGGACCACAAAGAGAGCTGGCATCATGATTGGCCTAGCTTGGCTTGTTTCTCTTGTCCTGTGGGCCCCAGCCATACTGCTGTGGCAGTATTTTGTAGGTGAAAGGACGGTACCCCACAATCAATGCTATATCCAGTTTCTCACAGAGCCAATCACAACCTTCTGCACAGCAATGGCGGCTTTCTACCTCCCTGTGACAATAATGAGTATTCTATACTGGCGCATCTATAAGGAAACCCAAAACCGTTCAAAAGAGTTGGCTGGACTGCAAGGTTCAGAAGGTCGTGGAGGGCTAGGGGGAAGAGCAGGAAATAAGAAACGAGGTGAGAGAGCTCGCTTTGCACATCAGACTGGAAGTTCTAGGAGCTGTGGTAGCTATGAGTTGAACAGGATGCCTAAGAAAAAGAGCACTTGTCAGGAGCTGGTGGGGCGATTTCACTGCTGGCCAGGTGTTCGTTCTTGGAGACCTGGAAGTATCAGGCATGGGGACGGTGATCCAGACCAGAGCAGCAGTGACAGCTGGAACAACAATGATGCAGCGGCCTCTTTGGACCATTCTGGGTCCTCAGAGGATGAGGACTGTGGGGGAAGAGAGATGATTTCTCAAAGTCATGCTATTTTTTCGATTGTCCTCAGCCTACCTGGCATTAAGGCTGCAGTCAACTCTCAGCTTACCTCTTGTGAGGATCTGGATGTGGCCTCAGAAGAGGATCCACTGAGGGGAGACAGTTTGTCAACAGTCACCACAACTACAACTGCTCCCATTACACCTGAGGGAAAAAACAATACAGAAAATAGCTACCACCAACGCTTCAGCTCACGCAAGACACAGTCAATGTCCACCATTCAGGCCAAGTCTCACCAAGGGTTTCTGGATGGTACCCCATCAACGACTGGCTCTACCACCTGCACGGCCACCAAGTCCTCCTCTGTCCCCCTTTCTTTTAAAGAAGCTGCTATGGCAAAGCGCTTTGCCTCACGAACCCGGACTCAGATCACAAAGAGGAAACGAATGTCTTTAGTAAAGGAGAAGAAAGCAGCTCAAACACTCAGCGCTATCCTCTTAGCTTTCATCATCACCTGGACACCGTACAACATCATGGTGTTAATCACAACCTTTTGTCAAGTTTGCATCCCACAGACCCTGTGGGCAGTGGGGTACTGGCTCTGCTATGTAAACAGCACAGTCAACCCCATGTGCTATGCGCTTTGCAACAAGACTTTCCGAACGACCTTTAAGATGATACTGCTGTGCCGCTGGAATCAGAAGAAAAGACGAAAGCTGCAGTTTCAACAGAGGCAATCAGTGGTCTTCCACAGGGGCATTCCCAGGGAGTCTACGTAAAATGACTGAATAATGAGTCACTTGTTGACAGTTTCAACATTCAACACAGGACAATGGAAATATGGTTCCTTGGCCCAAAAATCCACACTGTCCTTGTCTGCTGTTATGTAAAATACAGCAACACTACCTGGTGGTCTTGTGACATGTGTTTATGTTGGATAAAATAATGTACTTTGGCAAACAGGTACCAGTGGGAAGTTTTGCCTGAGGTGAGGTCCACAGATGAAAGTTTTGTCTTTCTTATGAAAGAATTCTTTACCATTTCACTCTAGTGCTTGTGGCAGAAGATGATGAGAAAATCATCACAAAGGGCTTTTAAAAGGCTTTGCAGGACAAATATGGAAGTGCAATTGACAAAACGTAAGCATGTTCATGTAAGGGATTTATATTTCTTACAACTTCCCTGTGTGGGTAGCTAGAATTGTAATGTGTAGACTGGTTTTACATTTCAAACAAAACTGTATGTCTATAATATGTTCCTGAAAGCCGAGGTAAAAAGGAGACTTGTGTTCACTGGCTTCTACATTTTACTAGTTTGCAGTGACTTCTTCTTAGATGGCATGTGTTTTTAGCAGAACTTCTGTGGATTATATTTCTACATCGATATAACTTTCTTGTGTAATATGAAATATAAAAGTTCTTAAAATGTGTCCTTACTCTCATTCATCAGAGAACTGCTTTTTTTTTTTTTTTTTTTTTTTTTCTTTTGTGATTTTTATCTTTGGTTTTCTAGCTACTCTGGAGATTTCGAGCCAGTTTAAAAATGATACATTTGATGAAGTGAGTCGTGAATATATCGTGGCACCACAGTGAAATGCTGTTGTGTTCAATGTGATTGTTGTGTTATTCTATGGTGAACACAATGGGTACTTTGGTTGTGTTTTCTGTGCTTGCAGTTTCCTGTCAAAAGCAATGACTGTACAATAATGAAAAGGTTCTGTGTACATTTCTGGCCTGGTGTACTGAGACTAAATGCACACAAAGATGTACATTTTTATTTGCTCTGGCTTGGTTTCTCACTTTGAAATTTCTGGTCATGAAAGCATCATTTGCGCCCTCTGGAGGCATAGATGCAATCTGATTGCGACAGTGTAATTTTAACATTTGCATAATAGGTTTTAAATTGTGAATAAAGAGGAATACATTTCCAAAGGTTGAGTAATTCCAAATATAATTTCCATTCACGTTCATAGTATAACTATGGTTTTACTTTCATGTGTTTAGTTCCTTCAAAAGTATTACAAAGCCATGTCACATGATTTGTACATAAAGTTGAAACATTTTTGTAGTATACAGGGACATATCTAAGAACACAAAAACTAAAAGCAGTCACAATGTATTTGAAAAAAATATTTGGTGTTTTTTGCAATGCACATTAGTTTTTGGGAGATTTTTGATCTGAAGAAACATTTTTAATGATGTGCAAAACATACTGAAGGTAAAAGAAAATCTGTAATATAGCAGGTGTCATGAAGAAAAATAAATTATGGTGAATTTAGTGTTCATCTTCATGTTTTTGAATTATGTACCAATTGGATGTCCAAGTAAGACACCATCTGCCAACAGTAGGTATTTTAGCTTGCTTTGAACTTAATGTGCTCCAATGTCATCATCAACATATATATTTTTTTCTCTCTCTCTTAAATTTATTTATGTTCAGGTATGTCTATCATTACATTGTAAGTAAAATTAAAAAAATATGTTTTTGTGTTCATATTTGTGTGGTTTTCCTTAATATTTAGATTTTACTTTCCTTCAAATACACAGAGGTTTAAATTATTGAATAGACAGAGTCCTCCGAGGGCATGACCTCATAATTGCTATAAATTCATGTGGGAAAATTTAGACCATTGTTCTGATAATGGAGTTTGATCTTATAGATCATTAAAAATAAGAGATTTATGAAATTCTTCTTACAGCATTTTTGTAAAGTACCAATTGAAATAATGTCAATTATGACTGATATTGGTTCATTATAGGAGGTTGACTACAGATATAAATCTAGAAAAAATCTAAAGACTGTTGAAAAAACTAGTTCTAAGTAGTTTATGCACTTAAAAAATAGCTGCAAATTCTGTAAAATTCTAAAAAAAAAAAAAAAACACATATAAGCCTGAGTTCAAGGTTTTCTAATTGTATCACACAGGCACATTATATAATAATGTATTTGATGCTGACAATTTTTGTTCTTTAGCAACTTTGGTAATTTAGTTTTTTTTTGTTGTTTGTTTGTTTTGTTTTTTGTTCTTTCTGGGTTTTTTCCCTGGCCACAGTTAACATGTTTGTGTATTTTGTATATAGATTTTTTGAGACTTGAATGTATAGCTGTTTTCAGTCTATGAGGATCTGATTGAAAATATGGCTTTAAAAGTGGCAGCAGGCCAAAAGTGGGGAAAAAACAAACAAAAAAAAGACTGAGTTGTGATAGTTTTGGACAGTGCAATCACTTTTCTTCTATGCAATTCATATGTCAACTTTAAGCTTTCAAACTAATCTAGAAATGTTAACTGAATAAATATTATATAGTTTTATTTGGCTCCACAATGAGGCCTGATTGAGTTAGTGAGGGGAGTCAAATGGGAAATGGCCATGAAGTTTAAACATGTGACGAGCAAAATAACAACTTCATGTGACCCATTGCTAAGGAGCGGCCCAGACACGAAGACAGACCACCATTTGTGTTTTCAGCGTCGAGAATCCAGCAGCCAGGCAAGTATACACAACTTTTCATACTGGAAAATATGAAACACATTCATCATACCTTACTGTTGAATTTAAAAGTAGAATTTGTAACGTTATACCTCGACTGCTGTAATTTTCTTCACTTGTCTGAAAAGGAATAGAGTTTATATTAGCTGAGGACTCATAATTATTAAGAAGTTATTATTTTTATTGTGTGTAGAGTCAACAAGACATTGTATATGATACAAATGTTGCTGCTTTTCTAGCAGTAATTATAAAATATCCATTTGGAAAGTTTTTGTTAAATTGTATTTGTTTTTTGGGCATGAATTAATTTTCATACACATGCCGGGGACAGTATGTTTTTGTATTTTTCTGAAGTCTTAAAGTAATTTGTTGTGATTTTTTTAAAACTATTTGCTATGCACTTGTAAATATCTAAGAAACAAAATGCCCCAAATATTTTATCATAATCAGATTTTTTTTTTGATTGTTGAACACATACTTAAATTGAGAGTTTATTTTTTTAAATAGAGTTGATTAACCTTAAAGAGTTAAGAGGAGTCGATGGGTGTAGTTCTTTGTGATTCTATTGCACATCAACCATTTATAAATGGTGACATCACAGAAGAGGAGATCATTCAGTTTCTCAAAGAGATGATTCTGTTTCTTTTGTCAGTAGGTTTTGTCTATATAAACTATCTTAATCTGGAAACAATATGATGACAATATGATCACCGAATATTGGAACTAAACAAGAGTTTACAAAAGAGCTCTAAAGAAATGGCTCTATAAAGTCAGTGATGTATTGATGCTATGGGCAAACATGCCAAAGTAACAGAAATAATCAATTCAAATAGTGATGTTTAGAAATAGCTAATAATGCTTCCGGTCAAACCCTAACCCAAAAGGTTGATCATCTCCTCTCAGCCTGTTTCCAAGTGTTACTGGAGCCCCCTGATGACACAATCATTTAACCAGCTGTATTCAAGCAGGGAATTGATGTGCATCAGTCAGCAGCTGGTGAGCAGAATGAAACACCAGGTAGATGGAGTTTGCACTCTACATGATCTTGGCAATCAACCCTGTTAGCCCTATCAGATTCACCAGCAAGAGTGATGAAAACACAGTTAGAATATGTAATTTTAAAAAATATATTATTTTTGAGGGTTTTGGAGGAAAATGTTTCTTTCAATGCTACATAGCGTCAGACAGTCTGCAGAATGTGATCCGCTTGTGATCTCTTTCAGCTGGAATATTTACAGAGTCTGTGCTTTATAACAAACTCAGACCCTTTCACAGTTGGCATCAGTATATATAATAAGTCAAACCACGTTAAGCCCTAACTACAAGTGCAAAAGTATTTAGAATGAAAAGAGGGCAATAATTTTCCTTTCACTGCCTTCAGATTCAGCTTGGGTCACCGTTTGGATTAGTGTGGCTGACTACATAAAATTTATTCTGGGACAAATTGAGTGACTAATATGACATGATATACCTTAACCAGCAAGTTACCTTTGCTGTACTCTGCAAAAGTTTAAAATGGATTCCATTGCCTGATAAAAGTTTTGGAAGAATTCTCAGTTAAAAACAAATAATAAAAGAAAACATTGTAGTTTGCAGTTATTTTATTAATTTACTGATATTAGAATTATGTAAAGATGAATGAAACTGGTTTGTTATCCACTATTTGTAAGCTGCTGATTGTTCTCAAATAGTTGCTACAGAATCCCAAATCTTCAATGCCCACTTCCAAGTACAATAAATAAATTGAGAAAAGTGAATTTTCAGCTGTTTAACTGCAGTGCTGTTTTATAGATAAACAATCTTGAAACTAATAATAAGCTTGAAAGATTTTCTCTTGTATGTCACACTGTAAAGCAGTGACTGATGCTTTTCATCTGTGTTAATGTCTCAATGGTTGTTCAGTTGATAGCCAACTCTGACATGGGAACACATTTACTTTCAAGAAAATCAGTAAGTGCTACCAAATTGCTCAAAATGGGATTTAATGCCAGGTGTGAAGTTTTATTTTGTTGGTCTGTTATAGATATATGATTCGGTGTCTTTCCTCTATTTCTTTTATTTGTTTACAGACACACTCTGCTGCATGCTTACATAACCACAACAGATAAGTCTGGAGACAAACTGAAACAAACCGAAACTGATGAAGTAAAGTCAACATCTTTTAGAGGGGGTGCCAAACGAAGTGAAGATAAAAGCAGACGCCGTGCTAAACGGTGAATCTCACTCTGCATCTGTTCCATTTGTACGACTTGTAGCATTTAACCAAATTTTATTATTTAGCTAATTACTCTGACTGGTTATTGATTGAGTCCTAGAACTGATAAATGGACCTGTGTGTTGCACAGAAGAAAAATAAGAATGCACCACAGCATGACTATCATGCTTAATTGGCTTCACTTTCTTTGAGTTTTCCTTTAATTCTCTAAACTGATATTGTTGTGACAGCTTACTCCTGTCAATGCTACTCTTCATTACCTCCTATTTATTTTTGACAAAGAGATTAACTTGGAGCCTGAGAAAGAAGCCCTTCTGTGTTCATGCTAGTATATTTCAGCATTCAACTTTTTACATTTAAATAAGTTCAGGGGGTAATGGGCTAAAAAACAAATCAGTTAAACCCACAAACCATTTCTCAAGGTTTGCGATAAATCCAGCACAAGGCTTAGTCACTGGTCTTTATCCTATATTACCAAAATGTTATTCAAATTTCACAAATTTTCCAGCATAAAAGTGACCACTTGGTTTATTTTGTCACCAGCAATGTCATCTGCGCATCTACTTTAATATTAATTTTGCTCTGAATATGAAGATCTATTATCACAGACAGAAAAAAAAACATATTAGTATGTAATGTTTTAATTAAAAATCAAAAGGTTAGGTACCACTACCATTTAGGAAAATATGTAGTTAGTCTAAGGAACTCCTGACACTGACATGCATTAGCATATTCTTAGATGACAGAAGTTAAACTTTGGACATTTTCAAAATTAACC